GATAGATCATAACAAAGTAAGGAGAGCTCAGGAGAAACTTGTCAGTAACCTAGAAGAGGAGTTTGATAAGGGGATAAGAGAAAATGGAATAAATTGTTTGTTCTTTGATGGGAGAAGGGATAGCACTAAAGTGTTCATGAAAGTTGGAGATTCTGACAAGTTGTTCCCTGCCATGGTGAAGGAGGAACACTACTCCTGCTGCAGTGAACCAGGAGGGAAGTATTTGTGGCATTTCACTCCAGAGAAAGATGACATCAGGAAACCAGCTGATATAGTGGCAGATAACATTGTGGACTGGCTCAGAGAGAGGAACGTAGACCAGACCCTGCAGGCCATTGGAGGGGACAGCACCAACACGAACACAGGGTGGCAAGGGGGAGTCATACAGTGGATAGAGCGGAAGATTAGGAGGAAGCTGGTCTGGATTGTTTGTGACCTCCACACCAACGAGTTGCCACTCAGACATCTGACCCAGGAGCTGGATGGCAAGACTCTTTCAAACAACAGATGGTCTGGTCCTCTTGGCAAGATGCTGGACTCTGCCACTGAGTTAGAAATAAATCCGAGCTTTGAAAAAATCACAGTTGGCCCTCCACTCGTTGAGCTTGCACATACTGTCATTGACGACCTGAGTACTGACCAGTACTATGGTTAGTGTGATAATAATAAATACAAAGAAATGCAAGAATGAAAAAAAATCAACAGTGAGAAACGCTATATGCATGTTGTTTTGTCATGTAATAGAAACAATTGAGACCCTACAATTGTGTGTAAATGAGGCAGAAAGTCAGATCAGCAACCTGGGACTTGGTCACATATGGCAGCAGGGTCTACCATTAGACAACACATTATGCTGCCAATATCTTCCCAGGCGGTAGTACCTCCCTGTTCGGTAGCTGCCTAATACCTACTACCTGTCCCTGTCTCATCAACAGAACAAATTATATAAATGGGTCAATACATCTGATATTATATTCAGATTTCACCCCGTGTAACTTTCCACTGTCTATGAGTAAGACATAAGTTGTACACGTGAACGGTAGCTTTCCCAAGAGGCACAAGCCCATATGTAGCAACTTGTAAGCGCGCACTAGCGACGCCCCTTGCTCAGTCACACAGATCAACTACTATCGAACGGACGTGATCAACGTTTATATTTACATAAACGCCGTCCTCTTTCTCGTTCACTCATATACAGTGGAACTTACGGTTGATCTACACTCAGGAATTATAGACATAATCCTTTTATAATAAAACAAAGGAACTTCAATTGGGTCTCGTTAATTGGGGGATTAACAGATGGATTCAAAGTTCGTTCCAGACAACGCCCTTTCTGTGCCTCCCCACTGATCAGGGGTGACTCCTGATCAGAGGCGGCCCTGATTGGGTGCTCTGTAACGGCTTTCTGCAGCGGACTTGGGCCGCGATCCCACTGGTGTTACTTCCACCACT